TTTTTTTACCAAATATAAAATGTATTTAAAGTGCAGTAAACTTTTAAACATAAATAAATAATTTATATGTTTATATAAACAAACAATTTATATGTTTATATATACAAACTACTTCAGATTTCATATTACAAAGAAGAAAAATTGTAGATGTGCAATATTTTATTAGGCAAATACTGCAATTCCCTCACCACAGATTGTTCAATTGCTTTTCGGAAGATATTACAGTGGCTAGTGAAAAGCGAAAAGGATTTTATTCTAAATTCACTTTTTTTGCCCAATGAGTCGCATGAAACATGAAGTAGAAACTGAAATATATAAACAATCATCCCTCAACGTCAATTCTGCAGCAATAACTGGAATAGTTAGTATTGTTGGAGGATACACACAATTAACTGAATTACCGCCCAGTTTAAATATCCCACTACTATCAAAAAATATTACTTATCAATTCAAAAAGATCTAATTGATTTATACCATGAAAGTTGGACATCAATGCTTGAGGCTGGACAAGAAGAAATCAAATTAACAAAAGAGCATGGAGATATTAATAAAGATGAAGAAGATCCTTTCATAACTGTTGTTGCGGACTGACCTTGGTCAAAGAGATCATTATAAAACAAATTATAACGCCAATTTTGGAGCTGCAGCCATTATTGGTTACCGAACCCAAAAGATTCTGTATCTTGGAGTTAGGAGCAAATACTGTTCCTACTGTAAATTATACGGAAAAGATAAAGAACACGTAACACATAACAAAGTTATAAAAATTGGACAAAAGCTTCGACTGCAATGGAAAGTCAAATAATTCTAGATGGATTTAAATGTAGTAAATACATGCATGGAATTACTTACAAAATTTTAATAGCCGATGGAGATAGTAGTGTTTATCAAAAAATTTTAGAAAATAGACCATATGGTAATAATGTTGTTGAAAAAACTGAATGTCGTAACCACCTCCTAAGAAACTATTGTACAAGATTAAAAGAGTTATCAACAAAACGATATAGTTCCGAAGGAAAACTGGTACCATTTTTCTTACGAAAGCTTTTAAAAAATAACATATTAAGATTAAGAACTGCTGTTACAAAAGCAACTGAATACCATCGACAGTCAGATAAACCAAGTGACTTAAGAATAAAGTTTTTTAAAAACGACATATCAAATAGCCATCTTCATGTATTTGGAAATCATTCGAATTGCGCAGATTATTTTTGTTACAGAAAATCATCAGAAACAGATTATACGATACCAATGAAATATATTAGCTCATGTGCAGCAAGATTAAAATTCCATGCAAATAGTCTTATAAAAAATATGAGTAACAATTATGCTGAGCAATATAATAAAGCCCTTCACAAAAGCATCAAAGGAAGAAGTCCTGGCGTATATACAAACAAAATTATTTCAGTATTTACCAAAAATACATTGCGAAGAAAATTATATTACAAAAATTTGCAAAAATCAAAAAAATATATAACAAAAAACCATGCTCCAGATGAAGATTATGGACCACAAGCACAAAAAACGTTAGAAATTGATCATAACGAATTAGTGAAAATTAAAAAAAAATTCTATCGGAAATTCGATAGATTTCTCATTATTCTATAAGAATAATGAGGAATGTATTCAATTGTTTATCAGGAATATCCTTTTTTAGCTGCAACACCTAATGGACTCATAGGTAATAATATGATTGTCGAAATTAAATCCAATTTCAGCAAGAGATATATGTTCTAAAGATGCAATAGATAGGAAGATACTAAAGTATATGAAAGTGGAAGATGATAGATATATTTTAAAGAGAAATCATGCAATCACGCAAAGGGCAGCTATTTGTAGCAAATAAAAACTTTTGTTACTTTTGCGTGTGAACCCCGAAAGGATTGATATTCCAGCTTATTGAAACAGATGAGCAATTATGGGAGCAAGTGGTAAAAAAATTAAGAGAATTTTATTTCAACAATTATCTTCCTCTATTAATAAAAGAAATAATTGACGAAAAGTAAGGTTGAAAAATGGTATACCTATAGAATTAACTTAAGTATACAAAAAACAAGATGGCGTTTTAAGGAAATAATGTATTTTTTGACTAAAGCCTACTCAGAATTTCGTAAAAATATGAATTGTCAATAAAGTTGAAACACGTTCGTACATTTAAGACACATAATAATAAACAATCAGAATGCCCACTCTCAGATGCCGCCTTTAAAGTTTTTCAGCACGCGAACGCCATGTTTTAGACGGAAACATAGACTCGAATTGAGAAATTTGTGACAAGCTACGACAGAACTGTAATTTAAATTTTTAGAGATTAATAATTTAGTACATTTGAAATAATTTAATCTATTCTTCAACTAAAAGTACGAATAAAATGTGAAAGTGTATTTTATGTCTGTAGTTGCCGTAAATAAATTAAACCGGGTTAATTTGTCTATGCACACCAGATAAAATATCACTGAATAGCACCGGTTCCGACTTATTTTTTTTATTAAGATATCCTAAATATTATTCAAACGATAAAATAGTTAAACTATAGTTATACGTTCATATACAAAGTGTTCTAATTAAGGAAAAAATATTCTTCTTCATGTACCATGTCTTTTCAGAACGTTGGTTACCATCATAGCTATCTTAATTTTATTCACTGCCACCCTAAATAGCATGCTTGTATCAACACCATACCAATCTCACAAGTTCTTTAACCATGAGGTTTTTCTTCGTCCTTGACTGCGTATGCCTGCTGTTTTTCTTTGCATGATATTTTGTAGCAACCTACATTTGGGACCTCTCATTACATGTCCGAAATACTCCAGTTTTCTCTGTTTGGTGCTTTTTATGATCTCACTAGTCTTGCTGAGACGTTCTAGTATTGTGGAGTTTCGCTTCACCCAGGAAACTTTTAAAATTCTTCTATAACACCACATTTCGAAAGCCTCAAAGCGATTTAGATCGATTTTACAGTCCAGTGCTCGACACCATAAAGTAAGACCGAGAACACGTAGCAGCGAAGTAGGCGGATCCTCAAAGCCAATTTTAGGTCTCTCTTACATAACACCTTGGACATCCTTCTAAAAGCAGCTCTAGCCTGCTCTATCCTCGATCTAATTTCGCCGTGACTTTCTGCGTTACAATTTAATTGCCGTCCAAGGTAAACAACTAATAATAATAAGGAAAAAATATTATAAAATTTAATATAACTAAAAAAAAACAAAATTTAATTGTGAAATAATTGTGATAGAATAAACAATAATATAATAATTGTTAATAATTATAATAATTGTGTATTTGCATGTAACTTTAAATACGTCGGTATTTTCTATTATTACGCTTGTATCCACAATTAAAATATTGTTTGGCTAAATTAATTGGTTTCGGAGATATTATTATTTTTAATGCCCTACAATTTAAGGAAAATCGAAATATCTCCGGAATTACAATATTAAGGTATAAAAATAAAATAAAATACGGGAATTCCATAAAAACAAACATACGTTTGATACGTCCACTTTATGAGACCCCTCGTATATTTCAAAATAATTTTAAAATTGCCTTTACATTTCTATTGCAAATTTATTTTGAACACTTTCGATAATACCAGAGAACTACCTACGAACGCAGTGTTCGTAGTTCTCTGATAATACATGCGTTTTGAGAGTCGACAGACGTTTTCCTAGAATTTTAAGCACAGATGTTTTTAAGCATCTTTACCTGTTGTTAACACTCATTTATATGTAATTTCTTGGGGTAATAAAAACATATAAAACAATCCAGGAAACACACTTTTGAAATAATCCAATAATGATAAGTTATTAATTATAATTAATAGTAAAATATTGTTACTATTTAATTATGATTAATAATAATAAATTTACTTTCAATGTATCTAGTTATTATACTACGTATTTTGTAGAGGCCTTTGTAACCACTCTCTTCTATATAAGTAGACAAACAATTTAAGTTTTAAGTCTTAAATATACCATTGATATAGTATAAGATAAATATTTTAAATAAACAATAAAGGTACATTGATCACAGAACACTCTTTACACTCTAAAAAAATAAACAAAAAATATGTAGATGTGTAAAAAGAAAAAAAAAGCGTTAAACCTCTCCATGAAAAGAAAAACCTTTAATTATAAACTCTTACAATCATCTTTATTATAATATGATCTCAAAATTTAATAATTCACTCAAGATATTGACATACGCCACCTTCGGAGCTTTTCCTATCTACACCATGGGCACTTTAGTTTATTGCTAAACTCGCATTTACGATTATGAAAACAAACTCTTATAAAATAATACTTTTATTTGAACAGAATGACTTAAAATAAATGGATCTTCCATAAATATTTTTTTTTTAGTTTCACGTCTTAAATCAATTATTTGTCAAATAAACTATCAATATTATTTAATAAGCAACACAAACTATTCCTGAAGCTGTAGTAGCCTTGCCACCACTTTCAGTTCGACTGAGTGCGTTGTATGACAAAGATAGCGAATGTTCGATTTGGAAAATATTACCGCGGACAACAATTTAAACGCAGAATGAAAGATTGCATTATTACCAAGGGCCGAAAGTCCCTTAGAATAAACAAAAAGTTTTTTTAAATTAAATATTTGAGATTAAAAATCACACTAATTTTTCTCTTCTTTTTCACCCCTGTAACTAATCAAAATAAACATAGAAGTTTTCAGGGACTTTCCGCCCTCGGTAATAATGTAATCTTTCATTTTGCATTTAAATTTTTTGAAAAATATTTATTAGTTTTCTCAGGATTCGAAAAAAGTGAATACATTTAAAAAGCATTGGGTCGAAATTTTGCGCCTTCGCTCTTAAGAAGTATCTCTGAGACGGACAGACAATATATTTCATTTCATAAAGGACAAATCAAAATATAGTTCAGAATTAATAAATATTTCTTTGTATTGTTATAGTATTAAATATATTTGTATTGTCGATTTTCATAAGAGGAATATAAGTAAAACCAAATATTATTAAGAATATTATTTATTGACTTTTCGTATCATATTTAAGCCTTAGCTTTCTTTGTCACATTTTTTTTCTGTCCACTCTTTCCGGGCTTCTGTTCCTTTTCATCGTGTAATCTTCGCTTCTTTCTCAATAACCATATTTCCTTAGCTCTTTGTTTCTTTCCTTCCATCATACTCTTATATAACTTACGGTGTTTATTTTTCACCATTTTTTCTCTAAGACGGAATTCTTGTCTCTCTTGGCGATCTTTTTCCCATGGAACTTCTTTGTACACTTCACCAGTACTGACTGACAGCTTAGGTTTCTAAAAAATCATATATAAGTTAATAAAGCAAATAGAGAAGTAAAATAATTTCAACAAGCTGCTATTTTAATATCGCTCAGGATGAAGATAGAGCATGATTGCATGATGATGTGTTGCGTTATTTGTTTGGAAGAAATGGTTAACAATAATTGTCGGAAAGATAATACACATAATAGCTTTGCAGTTGTCAAACTAATAATTATTGTCGAACTTACTCTGGGACGTCTTAAAAGATACAAATATAAATCACACTCTCATCACAGGTATACAAAATCTATATGATGGGACAAAATTAATAGTAAAAATATAAAAATATATCACAGATGAATTCTTAGGGAATAAAGGTTTGAGAGAAGAATGTTGTATATCGCCAACATTGATCAGAATCTAAGTTGCAGCAGCTTTAAACCTATGAAAAAAATTTCAATAATGGGAATATAACTCAAAAAGACGAACCTTTACACTTTGGGCGTTTGCCAATAAGGAATATAAATAGAGTGGATAATGCGTAATTATTGCTACTGTCTGGTCTACAGAATCTCTGATCGAAGCATTTCGATCATTAAGGGCGTCTGCACTGAGAATGGAATTAAAAATAAACGCACAGAAAACCAAGTATATGTATTGTATTAGATCAGGCAACCAGATACCTAGACTATTAATTGATGATCTGGAACTGGAAGGTGTGGACACCGTCTACCTGAGCTCGCTGCTGACTAAAGACAACAAAGTCAGCGAAGAAATTAAAAGAAGATTAAGTGCTTGCCAATATTATGGCTTGAGGAAACAGATGACCCTAAAACTACCCAGAAAAATTAAAGTTACCATAATTAAAACACTAATAAGGCCAGTGTTAACATACGGGTCAGAAACGTGGTCACTTACACAGAACGACAAAGAATTGCTTTGACGTTTTGAGAGAAAAATTCTAAGAAAAATATATGGGGGAGCCCAAGAACAGGGGGTGTGGCGTAGGCGCTACAACTTTGAGTTATACAGAAGTTTTGAGAAACCCGACGTTTTAAAATGTATTAAATTAGTACGCCTTCGATGGATAGCACATGTAATTAGGCGAGATAAAGATCAGAAAAATTTTCGAACGAAGAGGACCAGTGGGAAGACGAGCCAGAGGAAGATCAAAACTTAGACATCAATATAACATAGACGATGATCTAAAATCCATCGGAGTTAAAGCATGGAGGAGTTGCCAGAGACAGGGGCGAGTGGAAGATTGTTCTGAAAAAGGCTTTGGCATATAACGAGCTGTAATGCCACTGATGATGATGGATAATGCGTAAGTTAATTAAAGAGCACGAAATCTTTGGTTTAATGGTCAATATCCAAATGACCAAACATCTCTGTTCAGTCGAGAACCTACTAATCTAACATTGAATTACCCTAGTCAATAAAGAAAACAAGCTGAAAACATCTTAAAGATATTTGAATGTTTTAAAAGGTATATGTATGAGGGATACTGATGAAAAATCCGTGAATAGCTGGTTTTACTTTGTTTTTTTTTAACAATCTTAAAAAGTAAAACAATATGTTTTGTATATAAAACGTTTTCTATACATTCTAGAGAAAAATAGTTGAAATAAAAGTTGTCGATCACAAAAATTTCTTTGTTTTGAAAGTTTCCAAATTAAAATACATGAATAATTGACAGAGATAATTGCAAAAAACCCCTATTTTTGTAGTAGTTTATAAATGTTAATAAATTTGTTTTTCGCATAGTGACACTTAATATAACTACTCACAATTGTAGCAGTTAATGAGTTATTACAGTGTGCCAAATTTCAAATAGATCCACCAACTAGCTTTTAAGTTCAATTTGTTTATGCCGGAGAGCGATTATTCAAACAACGGTACTTGCCTAAACAGTCACTCTAGAGGTATTTTGTTAATAGTAACTGATTCTTAGGGGCTTTATTTTTAATATATATTAAAAAAACTTCGACATTCTGTTAAATTTGATATTAAAAACAGTTTGACTTTTTAGCTTTTAAACATTTTTAATAACTTTAAGAGTGTAGGCGCAAAATTTTGGGCCAATGCTTTTTAAATTCATTAATTTTTTTCGAATCCTGAAAAAACTAAAAAAAATATTTTAATAAAATTTAAACGCAGAATGAAAGATTACATTATTACGGAGGGCCAAAAGTCCCTTAGAAAAAAACAAAAATTTTCTATTGAGTGAGATATTTGAAATTAAAAATCACACTTAATTTCCTCTTCTTTTTCACCCCCGCAACTTACTAAAATAAACATTACAGAAGATTTCAGGGACTTTCGGCCCACGGTAATAATGTAATCTTTCATTCTGCGCTTAAAGTTTTCAAAAATACTTATTAGTTCTCTCATGATTCGAAAAAAATTAATGCATTTAAAAAGCATTGGCCCGAAATTTTGCGCCTACGCTCTTAATATATTTTATATCACACGGTTATAAGTAGGCTCAATGAAAATCTGGTGAAAAAACACACTTTCCATAAAAAGACAACGTATGACCAATAACAAGAAACAAGCCGAGATATTGCAGTGGACAATTATCCCCTTCACTTTTCCATGACGGTATTTTACGAGTACCATCAATTTAACAGGTTATCACTTTTTACTTCTTCACTTTGTAACTTTGTATGTCATATATATAAATTGGACCATAAAATTTAGATCTTCATGGTTTCATCGGTACATCAGTTGGTTAAAAAAATGGTAAATTATAAATGGTAAAGAAATATGGTTAAAAAAATGGTATATTGTTTCCTATTCGCCGTGTGCAACTACTTAAAGTAAATACGAGAGACTATCGTGCACGTGAAGCGGCACGATTATAAGCAAAACTTAAAGCGAAGTGAAAAGTGGATTTATAATAGATATTATAATTATTGTACTAAATAAAAAGTTTAAGTCATTTTATTTGCGGTTTACTGAAAACTTCGCTGATCTATGACACTAGGTGTATGTTTACCGTTTAATAATATATATCTTTAATATTCAAATGATAAAATCTAAACGTAAAAAATATATATACCCATTTTTCATTTAAAAGTCCATTAAACATTTTTCTAAGTTAAATATTAATATTAATTACAATAATTATTGTATTAAATGAACAAGTTTAGGTCATTTTATTTGCAATTTACATAAAAGTAATGTATTAAAAGTGCTAATAATTTCGCTGATCTATGACACTAGGTGTCGCTCTTCCGAACGTGCTCATAGCGAATTGGTCATAGAATTCATCACAGATTTTTCATCACCTACCCCTCATATACCTTTTAGAACCTTTAAATATCTGTATAAGATTTTTACGTAAAATCAATGATTTTTTCCCAGATAGACTATGGTCTGTTTTTTAACCAGGAGGAGTAATTCAAATTTTCCGCGCCGTGATGCTTGTTTGTAATTGGTCCAACCGCAGGCAAGTTTACTCCACTAAATTATGATATATTGACACTAATGACATTTGTGAAATCTTAAAATTCAAAATTTATATCGACGATTTTTTGTATTTTCTGCGTTATTCATTACATTTTTAGATTTTCATTTGCATTTATATAAAAATCAGTTTTTTTCAGAACTATTTAACGATATATTAGTGTTATTAAGATAAAAATATGAATTCAATGAGTGGTATTTATTCTTCTCCAGCTTAAAAACGCCGAGTAGATTTGGGTCATTTATCATCAAATGAGAAACAATGTATTATAAACATGTAATTGATAATTCTGTAACATAAAATTGATAATTCTGGAATGAAAATAACAACTATTTACCGAACAATTAAAGAATAAACAGACTGGAACAGTAAGAAATTCAAAATAATATAGTTGTTCATGAACCTCACCAAGACATAAAAATGGAGAAAATATTTTGGAAGATTACTAAAATTATTAAATTTTTATTTTTACATACATCCCGAATATTTATTATATTATACACAGTATATTATTTTCCCCTAATATATAAATCGATTTCTGACACTTTCAAAATTATACAAGAATCCAGCATTAAAGAAATTGTAAGTACACACTTATTTAAACAAAGTAACTTTTTGCATTTGAGTGCTTCAAATAATAGAACCTAAAGATATTGATATATGAGTTAAACAAATCTATCTAATGAGGTAACTGATTACCATGCATGAAAAATGACTACACTTATATTTAAACCATAATTTATTCTGTGATGGGAAACATGAAAAAGTGAATTCTAAAGCAGTGAATGGGAAGGAATATGTAAAACAAATTGGCTGAAGCAATTCAGGAGATTGGATTATTAAGCTTAAAAATAATGATCAAAGTCAAAGTTAACTCTTCTGGTAAGAAAAAAAAACTAGATTCAAGAAATTGATCACACCATAATAAGAATATGATCTAGGCAGTTTCAAAGAACAGTATTTCAGAAATCTTTTAACTCTCTCTAACTTTTTGATACATGCATTTGCATAGCTTTGTTGCATATAAGATCTATTTGCAAATTAAAAGACAAATTTCTGTAAAAAACCATACTTAGATCTGTAACATTATTGACTCTCCGGATCAAAATATTCTCTAAATTATAATTAAATACCCTAAACTCAACCACCAGAGATCTATAAAACTGGATCATATGATATTTAAATATATATACATGGGACCAAATGTGAAAAACGTACTTTTTTTATTGCAATAATTGTAATATAATTGAAAGTGAATTGAAAAAAAATATTATTCAAACATAAATAGACAAAGTTAGGTTAAAATTGACGTGTAAGGTTGTCCGATATTGATTACTCGATTTCCGCAAGGCCGAGATAATGAACAAAAAAAGAAGATATATTTGGTGACTTTTCTAGTAACTTTCTTGGGTGTGAATCTGTCTTTTTGGTTTACTCCTCCTGGTTAAAAAACAGAGTATAGTGTAAATTATGATAACACTAACACATTACCAAGATTATAACTATCTGGAAGTAAATTTGGACTCAATTAGAATGGAAAAAAATAGAAAAATATCAATAGAAAAAAACAATATCAACAGCGAAAAAAAGCAATATTCTGTCCCAATGGTATTCTATGAAATAAAAACATTACATAGAAAATAAAATTTAAATATATACATATAAAACTTCAATAAAAATCAGTTTATTGTATGGATCTCAGAATTAGAACAGAGAAATATAAGAAAAGATTAGAAGCTTTTGAAAGGAATGCAATCAGATCATTCGGAATTTCAAGAAAATATATAGTCAGAAATGGTACTATTAAAGAAATGATGGATATTGAAAGAACCATTATCGTTGACATCCAGAAAAACAGTTGACGTTGTATAGACCCATACAAACTATCTTAGAAAAAGACTTCCTAAGCAAACAGTGAACTACCAACCAACAAAACATTGGAAAATAGGAAATCCAAAGACAAATTTAAAACATAGAGTGACCAAAGCCTTGTGCTCCAAAAACCTGCCAGAATTGAACTGGGAAGACGAGAAAAAATTTAGGCAAAGCGTTGCACAACGTTGACAGACTTTTTGATTCTTGCAATATGAAAATATATAAAGGATCAGAGTCAATAACAAAATTCCACAATAAACTACTCACCAATCAGTATCAAATTAAGTAATAAATCTAAACTGAGGTAAATCTACACTTAGAGACAAATGGAAATATAAATTAGGAATAGAAAAATAGCAAAAGTAAAAAGAGAGAGGGAAAGACGAAATCTTAAATAAATATTGTTTTAAATACACCTACCATTAATACCAAATACACCCAAAAGACGCAATAGGCGTTAAAACCAGGCAGCAGGTACTATTCCAGAACCACAAAAATAGATCTAGGATATACACAAAAGATCTTTCAATTGAAAGTGTAAAAAGGTCTATGAGGACAAAGAAACCATTTATCTACAATCTAAGTCTTCTTTAATTCTACACAGAATAGTGCTGCACAAAATGTAACACTTATTGCAGTCTAGAAAAACTGTTTTATTTGACAAAGAAATATCTACATAATGAAATCTTATTTATTACAAATTTGGAACAAGTTATTAAAAAATGAATGTGCTTAAATATAAATACCTTCGATTTTGTTGATTCCTCTTGACCAGTACCTTCTTCACTATCATTGTCTTCATCATTATCTTCCTCATCTTCCCCCTCACTTTCTTCCTCATTGTCATCTACATTCTCGGTTCCTTGAGTTTCATCTTTCATATGTTGCTCTTCTAATTCATTTTCATTGTATAGTGCTCTAGCTTCAGGTGGAATGTATTGCTGATCTCGTTCTTTATCAATGAAAGGTGACAAATGTGGAGGAAGAACTTCTCCCATAAAATATTTCTGTACCGGTAGTAAGTCTCGGGCATTTACGGAATCGAAAACCCATTGTGGTTGGATATAATACCTAAAAAATGTCATCGGAGAATATTTTATATATAGATTAGGTTAGGATTTATTTCAACACACATATGCGTAATATAAATTTACCTAGATATAAATTGCTTTTCCATAGAAGGCCGATCTACAATCTGATGAGTTATGGATTCATCATCTTCATTAAAAGTTGATCCAACAAACATTGTCTTATCCCAAGATACTTCTCCACCAAAACATCTTATTACAAAAACAAGGGGCTCCCTAGGAACCTCCCTATTTAAGAAGAACTTTTGCCCCTTAAATAGTGTTTTAAGTTTCTTAATCTGTTCTGCTTCCTTGCGAATCTCTTCAAGTTTTTCTTCATTCACTTCACTTCCATCTGCATTAAAATTATCAATTTCTAAATCATCCTCTAGATCTTCGTTAGAAGTTTTTGACAAAGAAAAATTCAATGCTGCTACTCTTTCTGATACAAAAATGTCTTCATCTACTAACATTTTTTCACTGTTACTTTGTTCTACAGATGTAAATTTGGGAGGATAGTACAAATTTAAACTATGATAAAGTCTAAAATTTACAAATCCAAGCATCACAGTATAGAATTCAACAAAGGTAGACATAAGTTTAAAATCTACCTCCGCTTTAGACTGTGGTGTAAATGAAAAATTATGAGGTGTAACCCAAGTAATTGTTTGGCCTTTAAACTCAGCCTGAAAATATATTCCTTTAATTGAAATAAATACTTTTCTTAACGCCTTCCCTTCAACTACTGCATGAAGAAATTCGAGTGTCAGTCTAAAACAGAAATAATACTATAAGCAAGCAATTTTAAAACTTAAATGAATTATGAATCCTGAACACATTCGTATAAATTAATTATTTAACAACAAGAGCAAAATACTTGTTTGATGTACAACAGACCGAAAGTGTCCAGAAAAAGTTACTTTTATGTATTAAACACAGTACTTAGGTACATTACTTGTTGTCTTTAATGATTAATTTATATAGCTTCAGTACAAATATATATTTATGATTACCTCTAACTCTGAAGACAGTAACTAATATGAAACTAATATAAAGATAGTAGGTATTAGGAACACTAACACTGTCAGTAAACTGTTTTCATGTATTCCTTCATATTTTCAAATTGTGTATATAAGTTTTCTCATTTAGATTGTCATTTATGGTACATTTGCCATACTGGCTAAATTTTGAAAGGTTAAACATCACAAAAAGTGACATTAAATAAAAAACTCATAGACTGGCAACAAATTCGTCCAAAATTAACCATAATTCGTTGTTACAGCATCAAGTGCCATTGAACAGATATAACACTTCACAAGAGATTATATGTTAAAATGTTAACAATCTAAAATAATATCAATTAATGAATTATATTACTGATTAAAGGGTACATGAATACAGCAAGTTGTATACTACTGAAAACCTAACATGCCACTGCTCTACTAAAGTTATGAGACAATATAAGATTAAAAGTTCTAAATATTAAGTTGCCTTTCCAGGAGGACATTCGTCCACTAGAGAGATGGGGTAGAGCGAACACACAACTCAGGCTGTAGGGTTATACCTGGTATACAGACCTAAAACTGCAAAAGGATTGGGTACAGGAATATACAGTATTGGTGAAAGTGTAAGTCTTCCTATTTCACTAGCACAATCAGCTCAATTTTGACTTTGCTCAAGTATGGTTCTAAAACAATTAGCAATTTAGAGCTACTCTTATAGCAATTAGTCGGTGAGTGATATTTTGTGAATGGTTCTATAACAATTAGCAATTATAGCAACTCTTATAGCAATTAGTCCGTGAGTGAGTTTGTTTTTAAATTGGGATAAGTGAGAAAAATGAAACAAGACAAAAAGTGTAAAATTAAAAAATTCAGCAAAAAAATTAGGAAACAATAAATATTCACCTAATAGAGGCAAAAACAATATTTTATTTGACACAATATTGGAAATAGACACTATTGATACGAGGGACAATCAGGTAGTAAAAACATCAAAAAATGCTTACTAGTTTGTCAGAATCAAGTATAGAAATTTTTCGCAAAATAATAAATACAACATGGAATCGGGCAGAATTTCCAACAAGCTGGAAGGAATATTCAGCAATCCCAATTCTAAAGCCAAATCGAGATGCGGAAGATCCAGATTCATATAGAGCAATTTCTCTAGCTTCTTGTGTCTTAAAAACTTTAGAAACAATGATCAAAGTCAGACTAGTTCATTGGCTTGAAAACAATAAAAAATTACCTAAATTGCAGTTTGGCTTCAGAAGAGGATGTTCAACCATTGAAAAACAGGTAACCTAGTAAGTGATATAAATATCACTTTTACTAACAACAAATCACTTCCAGCAATTTTTGTAGATATAGAATCAGCATATGATAATGTAATATTAGACATTCTCTATGAAAAAATGGGAATCTCTCAAGCTTTGACCTCACGTATCAGATTACTATATTCCGATAGAACAGTTTCAATAAATATAAATGATGAAATATTGGGCCCTAAAACGACCAATATTGGGTTACCACAAGGAAGTATACTAAGCCCTGTACTATACTTAATATACACAGCAGATCTGGAATGTAAAATTAAATGTGAGACCATTTCTATACTACAATTTGCCGATGATATTTGTATATATTCACCATGCCAATATATTGAAGAAGGGTGCAAAAAATTAAATATAGCTTATAAGAACCTCAATAAATGGTGTAATGAAAATGGTCTAAAAATTTCCAGGAAAAAAACAGAAGTTTGCATTTTCACGAGAAAAAGAAAAAACATTCCAACCGAATTAACATTGGATACAACAAAGTATAGCATACGTGCATCAGTAAAATACCTAGGAATGTATCTAGATAAAAAAATGACATGGAAAAATCACGTAGATTATCTAATCAAGAAAACAGAAAAAGGAATTAACATCTTACGGTCAGTATGTGGAACAAAATGGGGATCAGATCCAAATGTAGCAATCCTTTTGTACAAATCCTACATTAGGTCAATACTGGATTATGGTTGTTTCTTCTACGACCAAGCTTCAAAAAGTCAACTAGAAAAAATAGACCACATAGTAAATAAGTGTCTAAGATTATGCCTAGTAGCTTTAAAAAGTACACCAATTGATTGTTTATTTGCAGAAGTAGCGGAAACTCCACTAAAATATCGCCGAAAGATTTTAGCTTCAAATTTTATAGCTAAATTAAGCTCCAAAAAAGCGACTTAGTCCAAAAAATTAATATACTGTTGACATCGGATCTTACCCATAGTTATTGGAAGTCGAAAAAAAGTTTAACTATTACAGAGTCATACTATGTAATACATAACGTAATAGAAGAAATACACTCTTCAGATATAGATCCATTATATAGTATAAATATTTACAACATCCATCCAATTAACTGTGTTTCTCTCCAAGATTATTCAAAATTTCACCCAAGAATTAGACAATACATATTTAAGCAAGATTTAGAAAAGTATCTTCCCAGATGTCGATATATATTCACCGATGCATCAAAGAGTAACAATAAAGTAGGTTGCGCTATATTTTATTCACATAATAACATAAAAAATCTTATAAATTAAATGAAAAACTAACTATATATACGGCAGAATTAATCGCCATATTAGAAGCTCTTCTATATATAAGTAATATGAAAGTTACAGAAGAATCATTTGCAATTTGTTCAGATAGTAAAAGCGCTGTTATCAAAATAAAAAAATATCCACCAGGTCAATAGTAATTATATTTTTACCAAAATAATTACTAAACTTCATGAACTACAATCTCAAAAAATTAATGTATCACTTGTTTGGATTAAAGGGCATTGTGGAATAAAAGAAAATGAAGAAGTAGACGAAGAAGCTAAAATAGGAAGTAGAACAGGAGAATATTTAAGGTATAAATGTCCTCACAATGAAATTGCTTGCCACAAGTCAAAAAGGAAAATTTTATAAAAACATAGTTACCGAGTCTCCTAGCCAATCTTGGTTCTCAAGACTGTCGGGAAGTAAGCGTGTTTTAAGTACAACCATGTTTTAACTCCGCAGTATAAATATAAAATAAAATTAAGTGATTCTCCTAATTGTCCATGCGGAGAAGAAGGTACAACAGAGCACATGATATTAGGCTGTTCTAAAATAAGTAATGAAGTAAAAGTATTAAATGAAGAAATAACCAAAATACCCAAAATCACCAAACCATATAACCTAACCCAATTATTAAGTTCAGAAGATTGTAATATTTATCAAATTTTGTATAAACATATTTTATGTATTAGATTAAGTTTATAACCTATGTTTTTTTCACTTCGTGCAAAGTCCTAAGTCTATCCGAGGTCCACCTGTCTCGTCTAAATGATCTGATCGACCCCTGATCGTCAAATTGCATCATAGTCTAATATCCCAAATTATATAAGATAAAAAGATGAGAAACAAAACAAATAAATAAATATATGTGTGTATATATGTATATATAAAAAAAGGAAAAAATAAATAAAAAAAAAACACACAACAAAAGGAAATAATTCAAATAAGCTGAATATGTTATAAGAGAAATAAAAATCTAATGTATAATTGTAAAATTAGATATATAGAAAATATTTCTTTGTAAAATTAGAGCAGGACTATGATTGTATAGCAAACGAGAAGAAAGCAAGGAGCACTCCTTTAAAGCTTCCGAACAAAAAATACAAAATAATTCCATAAAAGTAAGATGCCGAATTTACAGAGACTCCGAAGCCAATAATTCACAAACACACACACACATAACTGTATTACGCTATTGTCTTGTCAAATCAGGAAGGTTTAAGAAAGTAATTTATACAGATTCTATTATTTGGTGTGTATCGAAAACACAACTTATGGAGCAGAGACTTTAACACTCACGCAAAAATCTGCAAATAAACTCAGAGTTACACAACGAGCCGTAGAACATGCAATGCCGAACGTTAGCCTTTGAGACCACATAACAAACAACAAATCAGGCAACGATCAGGAGTTCAAAAAGAACCACGACGCTTAAGTGGAATTGGGCAGGGCACTTAGCCAGAACACAAGATGGACGGTGGACAAGACATACTATGGAATGGAGGCCCAGAAACTATAAAAGAAGCCGAGGACGACCAGCGACTAGATGGACCGATGATATAAAACGGGTAGCGAGAAACTGGCTACAAGCGGCCCAGTGTAGTCCAATCTAACAAGGATTAAACATTGAATATTAATAATATAAAAACTGTTCCATTTATCAAGGCGCTGATGTAAGATCCTCTAAAAAAGAATTATCTTCCTCTCCCGAAAAGTAGCACTTTTCACATTCGATAGTTGGAAATGGTAGGGACGATATGGAAAGATTGAAAATGAACAAATATGATCATGCTTCATAAGTAGTTTATCTTTACTCAGAAAAAATTTCATGAGTATACTAAAAATAATAGAAATAATCAAAATGTGCCATTATGAAAGTGGTCATAAACTTTATATCGATGGAAATTTTGGTAAGATTGATAACAAGGATCATATAGATTCCCGTCATTCTTTTACTCTTTATCGAATAATTTGTTCATTTTATTAACACTTGTACTCCATAGTACACTCCCGGCAGTTACTTATGTATTATTGTGGTTCTAGTAGCATACTTGTATAACATCTATTGCCTACATGTTTATATGACTGGTTGGTTATAGTTAGTGTAATGACAATCATTACAAGAGAGTGAATCAAGGACAAGAACCAAATTATAGACAGCCAAATCCCGGAATATTTCACAATTCCAGTGGAGCATCATTTTATGAATTTTTAGAATTTGTTTATTTTATTACAAAAAAGCTTTTTCTCAATTTGTCACTTAATAGATTCTTTTAGTTTGAAAGATCTATAAATATTCATACAATATTTTAGGAATATTACTAAACAGCGATTAAATATATCTTAATACTTTTTATTATGAATCATTCAACTCAAAATACCAACTTTTCCCAAAATACATTAGAACATATGTAATAAATCTCTCTTCATATTAATTAGGCTGGTGGCTTTTGTGGGAAAAAGTTGATTTCATACCCACATGCTGAAACTTCTTTTTTTTATTATTGGCTTTGGCTTAAAACCTTTAGCCACGCAATTACATATAAATATTAGTATTCATTCATACAGGATTGTACAAGGAGGACACTTTTCATGCTCAGAGATTCATCAGAGCGGCTTTATTGTAACAAACAAGACATAAACCACGGTTAGGTAGGTGGGCAACATATGTGGTAACTGAAACTTCTTTAATCAATGGATTATGATGAAAATGTTTATAATATTTAAAAGTTTGCTGAAAATTTTCCATGGACCTATAATTTAAAACAAATTTTAAATGAATTATATAAAATTCATTTTTTTTTGCTCAAAGCCACTTTTTTAATAAGGAGAAATTTATTCTTGTGATTTTTTCGTAAAATGCTTACTTTAAGCGTAAAATGCAAATGATCGATTAAAAATGCCGAAAATAAGCCACTTTTTGAATTTTTCAATAGATTGGACATCTAATCAAAAAATGAATACAAAAAATATGAGATTAAAGATTAAGTCAAGTAGTTATTTGTTTTCGATTAAAACAAGATTCAGCTTGTAGCTTAGAAATAAACAATCTGTTTTCAAACATTAAAGTTCAGATTCAGTATAACAATTAGTTTATGTATATTTTAAACTGATTTTATACTTTTAAACTCAAAATAGAATTACTCATTTTAAAACCAGTGACTTAAGCTTTCACCTCATGTTATTTTCTTAGATTTGTTGTCCAACCTATTAAAAAATGATTCAAAAAATGCTAAAAATTAATTTTTCAGGATTTTTAATTGTTTATTTGCATTTTACACTTAAAGTAAGCATTTTAAGATAAAATCGGAATAACTTTGTCTTAGAATAATCTAAATTATTTTATTTTTATTCTAAAAATAGTTGTTGCTTAACTCTTAGATCAACTTCCTATTTACTAAATATTTTGTCATAATCTAAATTCCAACTTTAATTATTACCTTATTCTAATTCCCTATATTCAAACCCCATTATGTTCTATGTGATAAACAGATATAAATTTCTATGTTCCACTTCAGTCAACAAAGTATATCTGTCAGTTGGTGACTCTTGATTTCTGTCATGTCATTTATACTTCAATACAGAAGAGAAATTATTTTTTATAATGTCTTTTGCCTATTTAAGATGGATTTTCAGTTTAAAATTAATTTATCTTTAAATCCTTTCCTAAGTTTTTTGCATAAAATAAAATTTTCCTGTTCTCCTATGTTAGGTGGAACTTATCTCATTGTGCACCATACAGAGGAATGACAACTGCAGCAGCAAAGCAGATATGCAGACCTACATATATATAGAACTACAACAGGCTGGATCCTAATATCTCCACCAACGTGAAAGCTATGCAATCAGCCACAATCCATCCAGCCAACATCAAAAGCCATCAGCAAGTTGTTGTGTCAAACACACGAAGCCATAAGTATCACCTTAAAATTTTTGTAAAGCTATAGGTAAGATTTGCTTTGTTTTTGATTTAATATTAAAACTTCAATTATATTGTACAATACATATGATAAGTTAAGATCTTTGTCCCAGCCAAACTCATTTTTCACATTTACTTCTAAGATAAAACATTCTTACACCTGAGAGACTGAGCTGGATGAGGTCTAACAATTGGCTCCCAAAGAAAGTTGTGAGTTTTATTGTTAAGGGTCCCAACATTTTGAGGATCACTAGCCATCGGCATCCACCATTTCTGATGGATTGTTCAATGGTTACAACCTTAGATATCATAACTGAAGGTATAGTGTCTGCATTCTGTAATAGTTTTTGGGTATCCTCCCACTGTGTTTCTGGTATTTTGGTTAGTTTACCATTATCTTTAACCCATTTCAATTCTTTTCAGTTACTTAATATTTAGCTTCTTGTAAATTATTTTTGTTGTCTTTCCCTTATTTTTGTTTGTTTCTTTGCCATTTTCTTAATTACTGCCTGTATATCTCTTCCAATTTTTCATATTAGAAAATACTATGCTTTGTTCTGTTATATATTTGAGTTTACTTTTATTCTTCAGTAGAGAGATTTTATCTATCATATTTTACATTACTATAACGAATATTTTGATTGAATTGAATGAAGTATTTTCATTGTCAAAAATATATAACACACATTCCTACTGCTCCCTATTAATAGTTCACATAAACTTACTCTTGCAGACTTCTTCATAGTCTATGTTTATTCATTTTGATTAAAAACTTTCCATTTCTAAATACTAAGCTACAAAAAAATATAAAATTTCAAAAATAAACATTTAAAAGTTTAAATTAAAATATTTTTTTATAATAGAGCCCTTTATTACTGGAGATTTAAATGACTCATTCCAGTTTTTATTATTTTTTGCTAATATGATACTAGGTATATCTGTTTTGATACATTTATAATTTGCTATCTTCTTTTTCTGTATTCATATTGATTTAGAAGATGTCATTTATTTTATTTTAACTTTATGTGTTACTTCACTACCAATGATCTATTTATTATAAAGAATATATTTACCTTCTACATAAAGCAGATTGATCTCTTGGTACATGTGCTAATGAAGGAAATGTACTAAACAAAAAACATAGCGTCAGACAGTCATCTAAATCTTTCAATGCATCCATAAAAGTTGGATAGCGTTCTTTTACAATATGGTCTAATTTAAGAGTGGGATGATTATTAAGAAACTTATTTAGTTTTTCAAAATCTTTTACAGCTCTAGCACGTCCAACTTTTTTATTAAATATTTTGTAGTCCCTTAAACGCCAAATAATTGGTTCATGTAGTAAAAATTGTATATCCTTCACATGGTACAAGGTTTTAATTCCGGCTTTCCCTTTTTGGGCTCTTTTACGATTTCTAGGTTCTCTTGGATATATTCCTTTTAAAATACACAGCTTGCGAAAATCATTAAGGGATAACTGAAGTTTCTTAAGAGCTGCTTTTCTAGTCATAAACTGAGCACCTTCTCCAGATGTATACTGAAATTTAAACAAATCATAAAGGTATTCTTCATTTTACTTAATTAATTTTACCTTCTTCTTCCGCTTCGAAACCATTGTTAATTATTTACAAAACAGACTTAAATCAAAACATACATGTATACTCTCACGTGCATTGAAATTAAAGGGTTATGTATGATAGTGACACTGACACATGGCACATTTAAAGATAACTTCTGAGTGAAGTCTAGAGATGTCAAATACAATCAAGATTTGGATGAATTTTAACATAATATATTTTTTGTATTAATGGGCAAAAATAATATTATTGACAAAAATAGTTTAAATGTTTCACAGAAATCACATTTTCAGATTAGGTTAGATTTTTAACATAATAATAAAAAGAAATTGAATACAGATAACTACCATTATTATTTTGAAGCATTCTAAATTCTACCAGTAGACATTCTACAGAAAAAGAAGAATAATAATTTGTGGTTATGTTTATGTGTTATGTAGTTATATTTATTTAATATCATAAACCAAAATAGATGCTTAAACTTTGAATTTGGAGTAATTTTGGAGTTTGGAAAATGACTAAAACATCAGGAGAACAACATATAGAATATGTTCCCTCCAAACTACTTACAAATATCTTCCAACTGGATGTTTTAGGTATTTTATTTATTTATTTATTTAGCGTATGGACTTTCACAGTACGATAAATATACAAATACAATTACAATAATATACACATATATATTATATATATATTATTCAAACACTAAAAATAGTAAAAATAGAATGAATAGAATGAATGACACTAAATATTAATGTCCAATTTACATAGCCATTCAATTGCTTCTGGGGAACATTCCGCAAAGTCCTGGAGGTTTCCACGGTAGGCACGATTCAAGCAGTCTGAAACACAATGGCTTATGGTCTGTCTAGATTCTCCGCAATCGCACTGTGGACTTTCTGCACGACCTCACCTGAACAGCGAATCAGCACATTTACCATGTCCGGTACGTATACGATTAAGCCTTGCCCAAATGGACCGGGGCAGATTTGATGCGATGAAACCCTGAGTTGGGGTGGATATCTTAATATAGTCCGATTCTACTGTTGGCATCCATCTTGTTGTCCATTGCCTATGTATATCATAGGAATTACCAATTTTTCGGGCAGATCGTATTGGAGGATTTCTAGATCTCAATCGTTGGTGCTCTTTTGAGATGTCTGGGATATCTTGATGTATTGGTAATTGTACGTTGGCTACAATTTTCTGGTACTCTCTCACTAATGCTGCTGTACGGCGTAGATCTGGTGGAGCAATATTGCTCAGAGTAGGCAGCCATCTCACTGGCGTTGATTTTATTGTTCCAGTGATTATTCTCATGGTTTGGTTAAGTTGGACATCGATTTTGCTTGTATGTGCACTATTTAGCCATACTGGTGCACAATATGTTTTAGGTATTTTAATATATTGATAAAAACAATAGTTTTTGAAACATAAACATCTGTAAAAAATTTTTTAAAAATCCTTTGTAAAAGGTATATATTTAGGCCCAAATGGGCTAAGTTAAAAAAAATATACCTTTTACAAAGGATTTTTAATAAATGTTTTAATATATGGTATACAGCCACCTACAGGAACTGATTCCTAGTGGATAAACATATGTGTCTTGTTGCCATTGGAATATTTTTTTATTTGTAGTTGTCCTCATCAACCATTGCAAGGTTATTAACCGAATAATCAGTTTGTGTTGTGTGGTGTGTTCATTTTTATGAACAATTAAACTGTTCAATACTGTAATATTCTACATTTAAGTTGTCCTTATTTATACAAAAAATCTGCAGAAGTATTGCTGATGTTGTGAAACGCATAGAGGAAGTGAAATGGAACTGGGCAGGCCATGTAGCGGGAATGCATGACTCACGATGGATGAGCAAAATTACAAATTGCAGCCATTGTCTGCCAATAGCAGACAAATGTAGTAGAAAAACACCACCTACATGTTGTGCTGACGACATTAGGCGTATCACGAAAAATTGGCAACAAAGAGCACAAGATCGCAAGGAATGGAGGAGAATTGGGGGTGAAATACACCCCAACTGGTTGGAACATTTTTATTGAAAATATCCTCAAGAATCAATACGAAAATAGTAAAAAATGTCTTCTAGTTTTTTCAAAATATCAAATACTTTTTGATTTATTTGTGATTAAAAATTTCAATTTTTCTTATGTTTTATGATTTATGGTAAAAATAAGATACTATTTAAGATATTAGAAGATAAGTACTGTTGAAGATATGTAAAATTTGCTACATAGAACTGAATTTGCAGAACTGCTGCTATATAGATCTGCATATATAGAATATGATACAATTTCATCCCAAGACAAAAGCACACACATAGGGTAAACTTTGAAGTTAAGAGTAAATAGAGGTTCATTCCTAAATTTCACCAAAGTTAAGACTGGTTGATGGAAATTGGAGGGTATACTATATTTTTACCATTGTACACTGGACTATATATAATTTAAAATTGTGACCAATCTTATAAGCTTTGAGATGGCTAAAATCCTCAATCTCTCTAAAGAGGTTAAATTGTTTTGTTTCAATAGAGGTGGTGGAAGTATAAGAATATAGTATATAGAGTATTTACCAAAAAACCTGTTAGCTAGTTGGCTTCTTTTACAGTTTTGGTTATAAGTAATAGGTTTTCTGTAAGCATCTAATCACTTAATAAGCAATATTGTAATTAAAGTTCTAATTATATTTTCCATTTCATACCTTGCTATTCCATTCAACTGATCTTTTTTATATATTTTTAGAAAGAAAAATAACATGCCAAGTAATTAAAATGAAGGATTCTGTTATTATATATGTAAATGAAAATGATACACCTGAATTTAATAATTTAGCATTAGCCATGAAGGATCGCTACAGTAGTGAACCAATTAGTACTGTTCTAGTGGGTGACTTCAATGAAGATTTTTCAAAAAATACAACTTCTAAATTATGTAAAAAGTTGAATAAGGTGGTTTTTTTAAGTTGCAATGTAAGTCAAGATAGGTTGTTAATGCCACTTTTGGAAAAACAAATATATGAAAAAATTAAGAGTTCTCCAGATATGTTTTAATGTAAATGTAATTTATTTAATTTTTATAAATAAAAACTCAAAGAATCAGTCTAAGTATTTGTCTCATTATTATGCACTCTACTATTATGTACTTTTTTATTTGTTATTTATTTAAAAATTTATTTAAAAATCCTTTGTAATAGGTATATATTTAAGGCCCAAACGGGCTAAGTTAAAAATACATAACGTTTTCGGAAACCATGTTCCATCATCAGTGTCTAGGAGTACATGAATGTAGCCACCAAGATTAAATATATGGGTAAAAACCCGTTAACAGATGTTTAATTACATTTAGTTTTAAAAATACGTTATAATTATTTAAGATTATAGAGTTACCGATGGATTAGGTAACATGGCGACATATGACTCCACGTTGAAGTTGCTAGTCCTCCTCAGGACTTCAACGTGGATTCATATGTCGCCATGTTACCTAATCCATCGGTAACTCTATAATCTTAAATAATTATAACATATTTTTAAAACTAAATGTAATTAAACATCTGTTAACGGGTTTTTACCCATATATTTAATCTTGGTGGCTACATTCATGTACTCCTAGACACTGATGATGGAACATGGTTTCCGAAAACGTTATGTCTTTTTAACTTAGCCCGTTTGGGCCTTAAATATATACCTATTACAAAGGATTTTTAATTAAATTTTTAATACATGGTATACAGCCAACTACAGGAACGTAGATTCCTTGTGGATTGTTATTTATTTGTTTGTTTATATCATTGATATCATTTTTGATCTAGATATTTAATCTTTCACCACCAGCCCATGCAAGCATTGAATTATGGGGTGCAAGATATATCATTGTGAATTATCAACAGGGGAAATATTAGTTTGTCGATATAGTACAACTTAAAAAAGAGTTTATAAATAGGTTAATGATTGAAAGATTTAAGAAAATTGTTGGATAATAAATTATCATATAAACTAACAACCATCATCATTCTTTTCTCGTCCTTTCCTTTATCAATATGTGGGGTCTGCTTATCTAAAATTTCTCCATAAATTTATATGTGTGTAACATACTAATATCATCCCGATTTACTGTTATGTCTTGCTTAAGTGTCTTCCTTGGCTGTGCTCTAATCCTACTTTCGGGTACTAGTAGATCAAAGATTCTTTATAGTGGGAGATTGTACTACATTGAACATGCCTGAAACATCTTAACCTACACTTTCTCATTTTGGTATTAATTAGTGCATCCAATAGACTTCCTCTAATGTACTAATTCTTAATTTTATCCTTTTTTGGACCATTATCCAGTGGTATTGGAAACTTTCTGTCACACAACACACCCTTTTACTGTATATATCCCGCTCTAACTCTACTGCATACATCTCTATCTATTTTTGCATTATTCTGAAATACTGATGCTATAAATATTACTTTTCACAACAATTTTACCATCCAATAAAGTTATCATTTTATTTGTAGTGTCAACACTATCTTCAAGTTAACATTCCAAATACTCTATTTTTGTCCTACTTAGTTTTAAATCTACTTTCTCTTTTTTTTCTTGAGGAAAAGAGTTCCAATTGTTGTTCTAAATCTTAATCCTACCATCACTTAAAATTTATCAGTCCCGCTTATGTTCCAACACTAGTGGTTACAATGTTCATAGGAAATTCTTTTCTTATTGAGCACCTACCACAGAACTTTTCGAGAAACTATATCGTATGCTTTCTAAAGATCAATAAATACCATTTGTGCATTTGTTTCTTTATTTTTGAATTGCAATTGAAGTGGATATTATGAAAATGTGTATTTTATTTTTTGTTCATAAGGTGAAATAGAAAAATAGAGTGATATAAATAGAGATTTATTTTTACTTCATATTTTCATACGGATGAACCGAAAGAAAAAAATTTTCAAGAAATAAAAAAATAAACAAAAATTGTAAAATTAACAACCTAAAATTTCTATTCCTGCTCAATTTCTAATATCCCGAAAAGAAAAATTAATAGTTTGTGGGTCCACCTCTGTGTCGCCTTAGTGCTCTAACTCTATTTGGAAGACTTCTTATTAAATTGTTGATGAACTGCTGCGGTATACGTTCACAAATCGCGTATAATGTATTGGCCAACTGATCCAAGGTTTGGGGCGGTTGAAGGAGCCTGTTTTGTTGCCTTGACATTTCGACCCAAACATGTTCAATGCAATTCATATCAGGTGAACATGTTGGCCACTCCATTCTTGTAATGCCATGGGCTTCTATACACTCGTTGACAATTCTCGCACGGTGAGGGCGAGCATTTTCATCAATCAGAACAAATTGTTCGCCTATTGCACCAAAAAATGGAACAACTATTTGTTACTATGTTACTAACACAAACGGATCCACCTCCAAAAAGAGTGGTTGGGACTCAGATTTTCATTGTAACGCTGTCCTCTTTCCCTCCACACCAATATTCGGCCATCATTCGTATACAAACAAAATCTGGACTCGTCAGTAAAGAAACAATTCCTCAAATTTTCGAAATTCAACTGATAGTGTTCAATCGCCCAGCTATATCTGCATGCACGCTGCTCCCTAGTTAGTCGTGGATTGGTAGCCCTTAAATTGGATGCATGTAACCGTCTTATGACATTTTGACTGGAAATTGCTCGGCCAGTAGCATGTCTGAAGATTCTGTTAATTCTGGAAGCCGTGAATGTTGGGTTTCTTCTTGCCGTCAGAACTACAAATCGGTCTTTCCGACGAGTTGTAGATCGTTCTTTTCCTCCTCCTTGCTTGTATGTTGCAGATCCAGTTGTTACATACCGATTCCATGCACGACTTATCACACTTTGCGACACATTTAGCCTTATAGCAACCTCATGTTGAGTTATTCCTTGTTGGATCCAACGAACTAATTGCTCGAGCTGCACTAGTTCTAAACGTCTTTGTGGCATAATGTTTTTGTGATAAATAGATTTCTTGACTTTCCTGAACTGGTAATGCCAATACGAATGATATATTCATGTTTGGAACAATATTTCTCTCTTTGTATGAGATAAGGGCCCATAAGAATAGGGAGAAAAAAACCACATACAAAAAATATTGGCAATAAAGATAGCATATAGAGTATAGTATAGGCAATTTTTAAAAAAATAGTTTTATATGTTAATTTTAGAAATTTTAAAATTATCCACTTCAATTGTTGAGTAGTGTATATCAATTCCTATCTCTGGTACAATTTTAACAATATGATATTCCAAAAGTAAAATAAAAATATACCAACCACACTTTTGTAAAAAAAACATCCGTTACTATTAAAACAGTGATAATATTAAACAAACTTAATTTATAAATATTTTGCATACTTCATGAGTTTGCCAAAAAGTATGTGTAGATGGTAGTCTATTTACCATTTACCTACTATTGTTTTTAATGCAGTTAACTTGTTCTTGTTCTTATTGTTAATTTAGATCACACATCTAGTGAAGACGATAGGTTTAGTAGAAGACATTTTACTAAATGGACTATAACTCTATAATCATAAGATTAATCGTCATTACTCATGTGCCACTATTTCCCACTGTGTCACCCCCATTTTCTCCACGAAAATTACGAAAAAGGCTACAAAGAAATAAATTTTAAGGAACTTTTAATGGAATCTCGAGAAATTGAAGCATTCTTAAAAGAAGGTTTAGTTACTATCGACTCTGATAAAATTACGACCAAAGTGTACATTTTCGAAATATTTTGAACAGGTTTAGTCAGAATGTAGACAATTTCACAATATTAGTCAAAAGACTAAGTAATCGATGACTTCTAATTCTAATGATTCAGTTAGCACGTATGTACCTACTTCCTAGTAGTTTTAATACGAATCATAGTACTTCAAATGCACCTTCTCAACGTTCTTCCAATGTACTTTTTTATGGTTGTAATACTTCTGTTTATGTTCGCACAAATTGTCCTAACTGTAAAAATTTCTGTAAATTCAATTACCACAGAAGCAACCTCTTCTGTAGAGCCTCTTTAAGCGGAAATTAACAATTTGAATAATTGCCCCCCCCCCCCATTCCTCAACTCAATTAAAATTAGAACATTTTTTAAACGAGGTTTATACTATGTTCTAGGTCTACACTACTACTCTATGTAAGCCAAACGGTAACAGCTCATCTTTTTGAATGTTCTGTTCTCCTATTACAAGACTTTATATCATAGACCATTTATAGATACCTATATCCATACCTACAACTTTTGTTGCATTTTCTGAACAAACATCAGCTAAAACTTCTTGGCATAGACGTCTTAGAAAATGCTGATATAAATATCCCTCAAATGAAATTTTTTACTTGCTGATTTTCCTGATATTCAACATAAATTATTAAGGGAACCCAACTCCTGCACTGCTTCATATAATCTTCTTGAACTTACTTTACTTTATGTTTGATAAATCAGCACAATGGAGTTTTTATGGAATATAATAAACCTACACCATTTGCTGACCATTGCATTAATTTAACCAGTGATATTCCAATCGCTGTGCCTTCTGATAGAACAACTCCTTAGAAAGCGGAAATACTGAAAATTGAAATCCATCATTTATTGGAAATGGAAATCATTGATGAATGCGACTCACCTTATGCCTACTGTGCTCGTTCAAAAAGACGGTACTTTTCTCATGTGCGCTGATTATAGACGACTTAACGAAATAACTGTACCAAATAGGTATCCTCGACCTAGGATGGATGATCTATTGCATAGAACCATACAGACAATATTTATGACAGCATTAGATTTGAAAAGTGGTTACCATCAAATAAGTGTTCGTTGATCAGATGTAGATAAAAATTCTTTTATTACTCCTTTTGGCATTTTTAGATTCAATCGTATGTCTTTTGGTTGTCGAAACGCGCCTGCCACCTTTCAAAGGCTTATTGATCGTTTTCATTAAGTGTTGACCATCAACACTTTTTGAATTCAATCAGAATCTTCAGTTTTTAGGTCATGTCTACAAAATCCTCATATTCTTCTTCGTCTTCACGTACCATCTCCTCTAAGAAGGTAACCATCATGGCAATTCGCACTTTCGACGCCGCTGCTCT